TGTTGGGCGGCCATGCTATGCTGGCCAATGCATTACGGGCGTTGTATTGGAGGTAACCAGCAGCCTAGCCGACCCATGACTGTGGTGCCTAGAAACGGGTGTCCCGTCGCTGGCATGCAAAAATGGTACGGTAATAGCGTGTTTGGCAAGAAGCGGGTGCTCCTCAGCTATTGGCAAGACAGCGGGAGTGACGAGAGCTGGAAGGAAAAAAACGCTTCTACCTAAACTAGCTTTTATCGCCCTGTCGCGCGTTTCTTAGTTACGTGGCTACTCTAGTGGATTAGGAGTACCACTTGGTCGTCAAGTTATGTGAGAGGTGACCACATCAACATGGTAGGCGATGTTCGGATGTGTTGTGCGACTGGGCACAGATCCAATCAGAAGTGACCGTCGCACTAAGTTTTCCCTGGGTCGCGAGAGTTCTTTCAAACAAAAGAGGGTAACCCTGTTTTTACGACTTCAAGTTCAAGAATCTTGAGCTTGAAAAATACCATGCTGTACTCGGGCTTTAAACAAACCAAGTTCCTCGGTGGAAAGCAAGGTCGAAAATACCCCTGTTTACGAACGTCCATGTAAACACAATCGAACTTGTTACAAACGAGAACAGTACCCAGGCCTGGTTGATACCTCAGCCCCTCAAAAGGCGGCCTGACATCAATTGTCAGTCACAGTTGAAGCGCAGTTGGCGCTGTCAGAGTCACTTTGTTCTGTCGCCTGTCAGTGAGCTCTAGGCTTGAGGCCTAAACACGCTACTCAGTCGTTGCCTTTTAGCTAGCTCCGAAAGCCTAGTGCAGGAATAGGTCGTTCGCGTAGCAGAGAGCTTTTATAGCTTTAAGTTGTGTTCTGTAAAGCGGACAGCACGGTATTACTGCACGAGGCAAACCCGAATTCGAGCAGTTACTTCGCAGTTTTGAATCGTCCGTTTCCGGGAAAGGTGACTTAGTATATCAGGCGACTGTAATCCTGCGGCGAGTTAAAGAATCAGGTATCTTGATCGAGCTGGCGTGCGAGATGTTTAGACGAGTCTCGAGCATAAGAACCTTTAATTACCAGCAAGAGACTAACCTTGACTGGTAGCTTGGACGTTTTAACGTAACCCTACCGGAGACTGACTGCGGTTGTAACATCCGCGTTGAAGGCGGTGGTGAAGGTCGTAACAGAGATGAGAGTTGTGTTTCGTGTGTCACACTCAGAGCACGCTGCACACCTAGTGGCTAGTTAGGTGTGACCAGAGACCGAAGGATTTTTTTTAGTCGGACTGAGAAGTTACAGACACGACAGGCGAATAGTGGACTGGCGATTGTGGTGGTCGTGGGTAACTGGCCACTAAACGGTTCAATGAGCGTGTAAATAGACTATAGGAGTTGACCCGACGGTGTGACAGCCACAGATTAGAAGACAAAGCGCTTCAGGCGGTTACGGGAAAGCGAAGGTTACACTGTTACAGCAGATGGTGAAGGCTACACCGTAACAGCAGATGGTTCGAGGAGTATCGCAAGAGGAAATGGTGACGGTGAAAGCGAAGCCTGAGGAGGAGGGTTTCTGAGCGACTCAACTCAAGGATACAACGTGACAGGATATGGCAGGAGGAAAACCAGGAAAGGGAATGATGACAGTGAAAGCGGAGCCTGAGGAGGAAGGGGTGAGTTTTGAGTCGACTCAAATTACTCGTGGAACGGTGGCAGTGAGTCAAGATACACGTGGAACGATGGCAGTGGCTCAAAATACACGTGGAATGGAGACAGTGAAAGCGGAGCCTGAAGAGGAAGGGGAGCGGATGGATAGGTGGAGGGGGGAGGGAGGGAGGAGTCATCGAGTGAAGACGTGATAGTTGTAGAGGAATATGTTGAAGTGGAGGGGGAGAGGAGGGGGAGGAGAGGGAGGAGGGGGGACGAAGTGGAGGAGGGGGAGGTGGGAGAGGAGGAAATAGAGGAGGGAGAGGAAGTGGAAGAGGGGGAGGTGGGAAGGAAGGAGGAAGAGGAGGAGGAGACAGGAAAAAAGGAGGGAGGTGGAGGAGGACGATGGGGTTCCTGTGGGGGTGAAAAGAGATCCGGATGGATTTGAAGCGGTTGCTGTTCAACACGAGGAGGGGAAGAAAAGCAGAATTGGGAGGAAGATGTGGAAGCTGGGGGTTCTCCTGAAGTGAGGTGAAAAAAGACCAGGTCTACGTGAAACAGAAGGAGGAGGCTGATCAATGTCATGAGGAGGAAAAGAGAAGGGTGCTTGGGGGACGAATGGGAAGTGGATGGAAAAGCGGATGTGGGCGCTGGTGGAGGAAGGGCAAGGCTGTTGCTGTCACACCAACTGCTGCAAGGCAGGAGGCAAAGCTGAATCCCCGCACAGGGATGGGTGTTGGAGAAATGGAATGGAGAAAAGCGGGTGACAGTACAGGGCTGGGTGTGCTCGGGGTTTCAGGCTCGGATCTCCGCCTCGGCAGCAGCATGCAGAGCGGGAAGAGTGTAGAGAGTGCCCCGGCCAGGGCCAGCCCTGCCAGGGAGCAGCGTTTGAAGGTGGACGAACGGGGCTGGAAGCACTGGGGAGTGCGGGCGGTGATGGCAGGGGCAGCAGCACGCAGAGGGGGAAGAGTGTGGAGAGTGCGCCTGCCAGGGCCAGCCCTGCCAGGGAGCAGCGTTTGAAGGTGGGACGAACGGGGCTGGAAGCACTGGGGAGTGCGGCGGTGATGGCAGGGGCAGCAGCACGCAGAGGGGGAAGAGTGTGGAGAGTGCGCCTGCCAGGGCCAGCCCTGGCAGGGAGCCGCATTTGGTGGTGGCACGAATGGGGCTGGGAGCAGTGGGGGAGTGCAGGCGGTGATGGCAGTGGCAGCAGCACGCAGAGAGGGAAGAGCGTAGAGAGTGGGCCTGCCAGGGCCTGCCCTGTTAGCGCTGATGGCAGTGGCAGAAGCACACAGAGAGGGAAGGGTGTGCAGGGTGTGCGAATCATTCCTACCAGTCCTGGCAAAGGGGGCGTTGCGGTGGAGGAACGGGGCTGGAAACACTGCGTGGTGCAGGCGCAGATTGCAGCGCAGCAGCACGCAAAAAGCGAAGAGCATAGAGAGTGCTCCCACCAGGGCCATCCCTGCTGTGGAGCAGCGTTTGGAGGATGGCCTGGGAGGACGGACGGGCCTGGGGGCACAGAGTGGCCAGCCAGGGCCTGCCCTGCCAGCGCTGATGGCAGTGGCAGAAGCACGCAGAGAGGGAAGGGTGTAGAGAGTGTGCGGTTAGGGCCAGCTCTCCCACCAGGGCCATCCCTGCTCTGGAGCAGCGTTTGGAGGCTGGACGAACGGGGCTGGGGGCACTGGGGATTGCAGGTGCGGTGGCGGTTCAAAAGACATCTGGGTTGTTGCTTCCTTGGGTGCAGCTGGAGAAGGGAGGGCTGTTCGTGTGTCAGGTTTGAGAGTTCTCGGAAGTGACACAGGTGCGATTGGGGTTGAAAAGTCATCTTGGGGTGTGGGTTCGATGGATGCAGCTGGAGAAGGGAGGGCTGTTCGTGTGTCAGGTTTGAGAGTTCAAAACTGGCGCAGGTGCCGTGGTGACTCAAAAGGCATCTGGGGGTGAAGCTTCAATGGGTCCAAGAGGGGAAGGGAGGGCTGTGCGTGTGAAGGAGGAGGCAGTGGAGCTAGGGGAGGAGAGGGAGGAGTGATGTTGCGCATGTGGTAACCACGTCAAATGGTAGTGGTGGTGGTGCTGTTATGCAGGTCGTAACCAGAGCAGGTGATCCTGGCGCGAGCACATTGGGTGGTGCTGCTGCTGTGTTGTGTTGTATCAGCTGCAACCAAGTCAGTTCATGAGGCGCCTAAAAAGTCAGGTGATCCTGGCGCTAGCACATTGGGAGCTGCTGCTGGTGTTGTTGTATTAGCTGCAACCAAGTCAAATTTGGCTCAGATGCGCTTAAGAGACGTTGTAGTGGGGAGGCGAATAAGGTGAATGCGTGTGCTGCGGGTGCAAGTGTTGTCGGTGCAAGTGTTGTCGGTGCAAGTGTTAGGATTGCTACCGGTGCAAGTGTCACTGCTCTGTGTGTGCTTGGGGAGTGGGAAGAGTGGAAGGAGGAGGGCCAAAACGCATGGTGCGAGGAAGTGGGGTGGGAGCGTTAAAGAAGAACCACTGGAGTTGGGTGATGGGGGAGTGGGAGTGTTAGGAGGAGCAGAGGCGAATCGGATGAGGGATACGGATAGAGCGGAGCAAAGGGAGAAGGAAAATGAGGAGGGAGGGGGGAGTGGTGCGAGGAAGTGGGGATGGTGAAAGGTTAAAGAGGAGCCAGTGGAGGTGGGTGGTGGGGGTGGGGGAGAGGGAGGGATAGGAATTGAGGGGAGTTGGATGAAGGGTAAGAGCCGAGAGGAGGAGGGGGGGGTGGAAGGGGAGGAGGAAGAGCAGGAAATGGAGAGGAAGGGGAGGAGGAATTGGAGGAGGGGTGAGAGATTGAAGAGGGGATGGAGATCGGAGAGGAGGCGGAGGATGAAGAGGAGGAGGAGGGTGAAGTGGGGGAAGATGAAGGAGAGGAGGAGAGGAGGAAGAGGAGGAAGGGGGGTGAGAGAAGCGAGATGGAGACGGATGAAGAGAGCAATGAAGGTGCAGGAGGTAGGAATAGGGAGGAAGGGCAAGGGGGAGAGGAGGTGGAGAGGGGAGTGGTAAGGGAGGAGGGAAGAGGAGAGAGAAGCAGAGGGAGAAATGGAGGGAGAAGATTGGCGGAGACAGGATCAGGAGGGAAAGGGGGGGGAAGGGGGAGAGGAAGGGAGGAGGGGGAGGAGGGGGAGGAGGGAGGGATGGGGGAGGAGATGGAAGAAGCAAAAGAAAGGCGGGGGGGAAGGGAGGCGCAGACGAATTATTGGCAGGTGAAAGAAGAAGCATTGGAGGTGGATGGGGAGTGGGGGAAAGGAGAGGCTATGGCGGAGAGTGGGAGATGGGGAAAAGCCGGTGGGGAGGAGGGGGAAGAGGGTGAGGAGGGCAAGGGGAAGGAGGAGGAAGGGGAGGGCAAGGGGGAGGGAAAAAAACTGACAAGGCACAGGCAGGTGCAAGAGAAAGAAGCAGCGGAAGTGAAGGGAGTTTTTGAGAATCTCAAAAACCCTGCAGCATCAGTGACAAGGCACAGGCAGGTGCAAGAGAAAGAAGCAGTGGAAGTGAAGGGAGAGTGAAAGAGAGAGGAGGCTGTGGAGGAGCATGTGAGATGGAGACAGGTGGTGGGATGCAGGGCGAGAGGGGGGGAAAGGGGGAGGGTATGGGGGAGGAGGGAGGGAAGGACAAAGGGGAGGATGAGGGGCAGATAAAACACTGGCAGGACGAAGAGAAAGAAGCAATGGAAGTGAAGGGGAGAGTGGATGAGAGAGGGGGTTATAGAGGAGAGTGTGAGGTGGAGAAAGACTGTGGGGAGGAAGGGGACGGGGGGGAGGAAAGGGAGGACGGGGGGGAGGACAATGAGGGCGAAGAGTACAAGGAGGGGGAGGAGGAGGAGAAAAAGAGGTGGAGGAGAGAAAAGAGGTGGAGGAGAGAAAAGAGGTGGAGGAGAGAAGAAGGTGGAGGAGAAGAAGGGCGAGGTTTGCGATGATGTTAAGGAGGGTAAGGGGAAGGAGAGCTGGAAAAAGGGAGGCGCCAGTTCGAGGGGAGATGAATGGGGGGGCAAGAGTGCTTGCAGGGAGGGTGAGAGCGGAGGAATGGCAGGGCAGGAAGTAACGGAAGGCAAGGAGGTTCAGGAGGGAAGGGAGGTTCAACAACGCACGGAGGAACAGGAGGGCAGCAGGACGGTGAAGCGGAGAAAGCAGCGGCAGCTGAGCAAGCAGGGGGAGGAGGAGGAGAAGGAGGAGGAGGAGAAGGATGGCAAGAAGGAGGGAAGGGATTAGAGAAGGGAGGAGGGGAGGGAGAAGCAGCGGATCATGACACCTGCAAGACAGCTCCTGAAGCTGCAGCGGTAGCCTCCCACACGACTTTTGAAGCGCCACAACATCCAGTTTTCCACACAACACCTGTCAAGGCTCAAGAAACAGTCGCTCCTCCAAAGGCTCCTAGGCTTTCCAAGGAGCTAAACCGCTCCTGCATGATGCGTGCAAGACAGCAGAGCAGGCAGCAACTGCTATCTCTTCTCGGCAAGCACAGGCTGCTCTGGGGGCCGCATGGCAAGCGCAGAGTGCTGTAGCGTCGCCATCGTCACAAGAAAATGCTGGGGATGCTCGAAAAAGGCACTTACAGACTGCTGTGGAGTTGTTGTCACAGGGAGCAGTGGCAGGGAGGGAGGAGGAGAGAGGAGGAGGAGTGGTGGAGGGGAAGGGGTGTGGGTGAGGAGGGTGAAGGAAGGGGGGAGGAAGGAGGGGGGGGAGGAGATATGCAGTGTGAGGATTACTGCTTTGTGTGCTACGATGGCGGTGACCTGGTGGCATGTGATAAGAGGTGAGTGGGGTGGGATGATAAGAGGGATGAGGGGCGGGGCGAGGGGGAGTGCTAGTAATCCATCATACCCTGTTGTTGGCGGTGTACAGACCTCCCTACTTCTCTAAAATTTCTTTTTTTCACTTTGATATTTCAGAGGCTGCCCCAAGGCGTACCATCCAGAGTGCACCGGGCTGCCCAAAAAGGTTTTCGAGTCTTCTGCCCCTTGGACTTGTGGTGAGTGGTGTAACGGAGGCTGCATAATCAGTGTGGCAGGCACATGCCATTCAGTAGTCAGTGTGCCACACCTCCTCCCATGCCTGCCACCCCCCCACCCCCCCCCCCCCCCGTCTTTTTGAGTCGACACAAAAATAGACACATACCTTCAGTCAATGTACCACTTACCCTCAGTCAGTATTTGAGTCAGTATTATTGGTATGACTTTTGAGAATTCTCAAAAATCTCAAAAGAGAATTCTCAAAAGTCATACCAACATAGACACATACCTTCAATCAATGTACCACTTACCCTCAGTCAGTATTTGAGTCAGTATTATTGGTATGACTTTTGAGAATTCTCAAAATCTCAAAAGAGAATTCTCAAAAGTCATACCAATATAGACACATACATTCAATCAATGTACCACTTACCCTCAGTCAGTATTTGTGTTATATTATTGGTATGACTTTTGAGAATTCTCAAAAATCTCAAAAGAGAATTCTCAACAGTCATACCAATATAGACACATACCTTCAATCAATGTACCACCTACCCTCAGTCAGTATTTGAGTCAGTATTATTGGTATGACTTTTGAGAATTCTAAAAAATCTCAAAAGAGAGTTCTCAAAAGTCATACCTGTTGGGTGCAAATATTTATTTTTGCACGTCAACCAGCCGCCTGCGTCGCATTTTGCACATTTGTGTGTGTGCATTTTTCATTTTCATTTTGTGAACGTTCTGTGCGCATTTGTTCTAGCGTTTGTGTGTCTCGTTTTCATTCATAAGTGCATTTTGTGTTTTTGCATTTTCAGTTTCGTTTTCACTGTTCTCATGAAGCTCCCATGAAGCGCTCAAATGAGGCCCTCATGACGCGCTCAAATGAGACTCGTGCGAAGCTCTCAAATGAGACTCATGCGAAGCTCTCAAATGAGGCTCAAATGAAGACCTTATGAGCTCAAACGAAGCTCGCATGGGACTTAAATGTTTCACGCGAGGCTCGTGCGAGCGACCATGAAAGTCCCATGAGTCTCGAATTTTCATGCGAGACTTATTGGAGCCTCATGTGAGCGGGTGGTGTACCGAGGGGTGCTCAGTTCTTTGACTGGTCAAGAGGTGCCTTGACTTTTCTCGCGCTGGTCAAAAGCGTGAAAGTCAAGACCCGATCGTGGGTCAATGTACGCGCGTGTGGGACCACAGGGCACGCGCGTGTGCCGTGTACCGTTGCGAGCGTGCTATACAGCACGATCGCAACAAGACAGGGCCCATTTCGGCCCTGTCCCGTACTGTGCACGCGCGTGATTTCGATCATGGCGCGCTGTACAGCACGACCGAGAAAAAATCTCGGTCGTGCGTGTGGCACGAGGGGTGCTCGGAATTTACAGTTGAAAAACTGTTTTCCGAGTTGACTCACGGGACGGGAAATTTCTCGCGAAAGTCATTTCGCTTTGGGGAATCATTTCGACACAGATGCAAATTGGTTACTCCGTTTTCAAACGTAAAAACCGTTATACAAGTGTGAGCTCGCATGAAGACATTTGAGCTACATTGGAGCAACATGCGAGTCTCATGAGTGTACACATTTGAGTCAGCAGGGGCGATTGTACAGGTGCAATTTGAAGACAGTTTTTAACAACAGGAGGATATAGCCAAATGTTCAAGGAGTTGTGCAACTGTTTTCAAGATACAGCGTGGCGAAATCCTGCGAGCCAGTTAAACAACTGTTTTCTAGTTGCTCCTGCCTGTGCGTAGAATCCATATAGATGTGTGCTTGTACCTGTCGAAATCAATCCAATGCATTCACGTTTTTTCAAGATCGCATTCTACTACTTCTTGTATGACGAGAGTAGAAATATTACCTTGGTGCTGCCGAAATTCTTCTCGACCAGTTTGCTCGTCCTACAAGCTGAGCAAGGCATAACTACTCACTTGCTATTTTCTACGCCCTTGGCTAGGAGGTGACAAGCTGTCACACTCGAAGGGCTGCAAGTGATGTTAAGTGTTGCCAAGTGTTGCCAAGCAAAGTTTGTAGTTCAAGCTCCAATCGCTTCCGCATAACGTTATAGCTGTAAACAATACCAACATAGACACATACCTTCAATCAATGTACCACTTACCCTCAGTCAGTATTTGTGTCAGTATTATTGGTATGACTTTTGAGAATTCTCAAAATCTCAAAAGAGAATTCTCAAAGTCATACCAATATAGACACATACCTTCAATCAATGTACCACTTACCCTCAGTCAGTATTTGTGTCAGTCAGTGTGCCACACCCCTCCCGTGCCTGCCGTCACTCCTCCCTCTTCCTTGGTATATTTTGCTCACCTTTTGTCTTTCTTTCACTCACTGTGCGCTCCCTTCCCACTTTACCCTTCCCACCCTGTCTCCCCGCACACAGTGTGGCACTCCTGCTCCCGTGCCTGTCGTCGCTCCTCCCTCTTCCTCTGCCTCCTCTGCCCCACCTCCCTCTGTGGCGTTGCCTCCGCTTCCTGCACCGCCATGTCTGATGGACCCTGCTTCTTCTGCCCGAGTGAAAAGTATCTGGACCTTGAAACTTCCCGGGCAGCTCAATTCGCTGCCCGACTCGCCTGGGGCAGGGTTTCGGGCGCGGAGGGAGGGAAGGCAGGAGAAGAAGCTGGGAGGGGAGTGGGATTGCTGGTGCGGAGAGGCATGATGGGAAGGAGGAGGCGAGGGGGAACGAGGTGGAGGGTGGGAGTGGGGTTGGATTGATTGTAGAGGTGCCTAAACATGCAGGATGGGAATGATGAGGAAGCGAGGGAAAAGGGATGGGGGGGGAGAGTGGGGGGGGGTGGGGATGGTAAAGGGAGGGAAGGAGCGAGGGAGGATGGGGAAAGTGGAAGGGAGAGGGGGCGTAAGCGGGGGAGAGAGAGTGGAACAGAAGAGGAGAATGGAACAGAAGAGGAAGGTGTGGAGGAGGAACCAGAGGGGAAAGGGGGCAAGATAGTGCAAAGGAGAGGGGAGGTGAGGATGCCGACGAGGAGAATGTGGGGAGGAATGCGGATGAGAAGGGTTGTCAGAGGGGGGAGTATCTGGTGGGGCAGGGAAGGCGAGGAGAGGAGGGAAGGGAGTGTGGGGTGGAGGCTGGAACAGCTGGAGGAAGGAGGCCGGAAGGTTCTGGGCTGTGCGGCGCATGCTATGTGAAGGTGGCGATGATTCAGCACGGCATCGAGAGGACTCCCACTGGCGTGAGTAGTGCTGTCTTGTCAACCCCACCCTGTGTCAGTTCCTATCCTACCCAGGTGAGGTGAGCTGTGCGGCACATGCTATGTGAAGGTGGCGATGATTCAGCACGGCATCAAGAGGACCCCGACTGGCGTGAGTACTCTTTCTTTCTTGAATGCTGTTTTGAGATGCTTTGATGCTGAGGCGAGGTGTCAAGCGCTCCGCTCCTATCCCACCGGAAGGTCGCATGCTATGTGAAGGTGGTGGTGATGACTCAGCACGGCTCAAAACTATGCCACTTTTCCTCCTTCTGTGTCTGTGTGCGCCTGTGCCTCTTGCAGCGTGTCCTAGACATGGACAACACCTATTCCCCTGCGTGGTATTTCAAAGAGACTATCACTCGGTGATGCGCGATTGGGAGCGGTTGATGATCGACGTGGGGAGGCTCCTGATGACTGGGGCTCTCTCAGAGAGAGATGGCTGTGTGGGATAGAGCTGGGTATGTTGGGAGATGAGGAGGAGGAGGTGGAGGGGAGGGGGAGGGGAGGGGGAGGGGGAGGGGGATGGGGATGGGGATGGGGAGGGAGAGGGAGAGGGAATGATGGGAGAAGGACAGAAGCAGAGGAGGAGGAAGAAGAGGGAGACGAGGAGGAGGAGGAAGGGAGTGAGGAGGTAGCAGAGGAGGAATATGAGAAGGAGGGGGAGAACGAAGAGGAGAAGGAGGAAGAAGAGAAGAGGAGGGCGAGGCCAAGGGAGGAGGACAGTTGAATACTGGAAGTTGAGCGACAGTGAGAGTGGAGGTGGAGATGAAATGCGACACTGGGAGTTGATTCCTTACCTAGGAGCAAGCATAGAGCAGCCACAGCAGCAGCGGCAGCACAGGAGGAGGGAAAAGATGGAGAGGGATGGGCAAAGGGTAACTACTTCGCTCTGAGTGACAGTGGGGATGAGGAGAGGATGTGCCTCTATCCAGAAGATTCAATATCAAATTGCAGCAAGGACGGGCGGCTGCGGTTAGGTATAGAAGCAGCAGGCTGAGGCAGGTGGGGAGTGTGAAGACGTTGCTGCCGCGTGGA